ATTTGTGAAAAAAATGTAAACTTTAGAGGTGGACTTTTCCAAAACAATGAGTAAAGTATGACTTGAAAAAAATGTTCACATTAAATAGAGTACAAGGTAAAATGAAAGTGGAGTACTGCGATGTACTTAAAAGTTAACATTCTTCCGCCCGGGCTAAATCAAACACAATATGGCAGTGTTACATATTTTTTATTGGAAAACAACGTCATTGATTGGCATTCTACAAGGGACGGCAATATTTTGCGTTCTTTGAAAGCCAAATGTTTTAGGTTCTTTACACGCAAACTTAATTAGAATGTTTGTATGAACTTATTTTATGTTGAATTTTTACTTTAGGACAATGTACGTCAAAATTGGAACCTAGCAATAAACAAATCAAATGCAATATTTTCATCATAAGTTTGTAAGACATCATTCCAATTTTCATTTAGAAGGGCATAATTCAAATTCATTAGAGTTTCCTGATTAATTCTTTTTATGTACAGGTATATTATTGGATTTTTTGCCTACATCAAAAGTGGCTATTGAAGCTTCATGATCTGAAAGATGACTAGTAATTCTAACATTCTACTCACTATTTTATCATGAAAGTTCGTACATATATTATGGATACAAGATCCTTTGCCGGTCTTGAGGTTTTTTCTCGTGTAGGAGTCAAGTAGTAGTTTTAGTCCACAGCCATTTAGAGTATCACAGAAAGCATTTACCTTCTTAGATTTATGGATAGTATTTACATTAAAATCTCCAGGTTGTATTCGTTAGACTGAAGAGGGTTACTTACAATTAGCAGTTCATTTACTATGTCTTCAAACAATTCCATTTCATTGACAGTAGATGCTGGTGGTCTGTACAGTCCTATAATTACATTACATTCAAAGGAGTTTATTTTTATATTAACAGCAGCAATTTCACAGATTTTTGCTATGGAGAGAGAGAGTTGATAGAATGACAGTTTTTAGACTAAAATGCATAGAGTCTCTAGGGGGCTCTAGTGTACGGTATTCCTAATACTGCAAATAATCACTTTGAGGTTGCATACAGTACGTACTTCAAAATAGATGTCTCATCCGGGAACTGCGTCTTTTTACGGAGCCAACACGAACTCCGTGTGTATAGGCGTAAGTTTCGACTTATGTGGCTGCGTTTCGTTTTTTTAAGCATTGAAGGTGAAAATATTTTAAGTGAGGCCCTCTTTCAAATTTACAAAATCCACTTGTCCAGAATGTGTGAACTTATTCCCTAAACGATGTCAAGCCATTTTTAAGAAGGAGTATAAACTAACCTATTGTGGAAAATTTGCTGTTACGTTTAGTAACTTGGGTTATGGTAGGTTACGGAGTCCTGCCCTTCGCCTGCACTACCCTGTCCTAGAATAGGGTATTTCAATGGAGCGCTGCCCGGAACTAAGAAGAACAAAACCGGATACAGAGAGCGGTGGTGTGGGCGGGCGAGCGGAGGAGCCGAGGGCGGGCGGGGAGGCTTCCAGGCAGCGCTCCATTGAAATACCCTATTGAGCACCGGCCGGTCCGCCTGGACGGGATGGTCTGAAATGCGAGAAGTGCGACTGAGGTGGAGATCTGGCTGGCTAGAGCGTCTCACCTCCATCTATCGCTTTCGGACCATCCCGGTCCACGCGGGCTGCCCGATCCTCACTTCTACCCTGTTCGCCTGTTCTAGGCACAGCAGGACTTTAATCATCAATCTTCTCTTGGTCAACCCGCGCACAGGGAACGACGTGTCGCACTGCAAAATGCTTGCAAAGAATAGGTTCGTATTGCAAACTATTTTCTTTGCAGCTTGCAAAGAATTTTCAAGCATCAATACAAACTAGTTCTTCGCAAGCTTGCAAACTATTTCTTTGCAATGCAAACACATTGTTTGCAAGGATTCTGCCAGCTTTCAAAGAACGTCTTTGCAATACGAACTAATTCTTTGCAATACAAAGCCCACAAATTCTTTGCAACGTTGCAAAAAATATAGTTTGCAAGCATTTTACAGTGCGGGTAGCACTGACTTTCACTTCAGCAGCACGGACCAAAAACATAACGTACTACGGAGTCACGTTCCACCTCTGTTC